GGCAGGAGACCGCTGGGCAGATGGGGTTCCGGCCTGCAAGGGGAAAGTTGGGCATTTGGGTTTCGTTCCTGCAGAGCAGTGATTTTCAACCTTTTTCATCTCATGACACACATAAACTAATTTCTAAAATTCTGCAGCACACCAAAAAAATATATTTTTTGCTAATCTGACTCCCCAAAAAGGTATAATTTTGACTCATTCACACTGGAAGTTTATGGTGCTGACTGTTGTCATTTAAAAAAAAAAATTGATTTTGAGAAAGAGAAACATAGATTTGTTGTTATCCTTATTCATGGATTCATTGGTTAATTTTTAAAAATATATATTTTTATTGATTTCAAAGAGGAAGGAAGAGGGAAAGAGAGAGAGAAACATCAATGATGAGAGAGAATCGTTGATCAGCTGCCTCTGCACATCCCACACTGGGGATCAATCCTACAACCCGGGCATGTGCCTAGGAATTGAAGGGTGACCTCCTGGTTCATAGGTCATCTCAGCCACTGAGCCACAGTGGCGGTGGCATTGGTTGACTCTTGTATGTGCCCCGATCAGCGATCACAGCCACAGCCCTGGCTTGTCAGGATGATGCTCTAAGCCCATGGTCAGCAAACTGCAGCTCACGAGCCACATGCGGCTCTTTGGCCCCTTGAGTGTGGCTCTTCCACAAAATACCATGGCCTGGGTGAATCTATTTTGAAGAAGTGGCATTAGAAGAAGTTTAAGTTTAAAAAATGTGGCTCTCAAAAGAAATTTCAATCGTTGTACTTTTTATTTTATTAGTTATTTTTAATTTTATTTTAAAGTAAAGTTTATTCCCCAGTAATGAGCAGGACTCATTACGGAGGTAGAGAAATCAGAATTGAAGGAGTTGGGGAGGGAGGATGGACCCAGCCGGGCTGCTGCCTGGACATGGAGGATCAGCCTCAATCGTTGTACTTTTGATATTTGGCTCTGTTGACTAATGAGTTTGCTGACCACTGGTCTAAGCAACTGACCATGCAGCCAGGGCTTGTCATTTCTTAATTTGATAATCTAAGGGAAAAGAGGTCAGTGCCAAAAATAAAAATAAATAAAACAACATAAAAAGTAAAAATAAAAAGGAAAAAGAGGTCAGTGAACCCTGACTAAACAGCGATTGCATGTTTTAAAAATCCTTGGGCACACTGGTAAGTCGCTGCTCTGGAGTTCCAGGGCTTTTTCGTCCTCTGCCTCGGAACATGGTCCCAAGGCCATGCCACTAGGAGCCCAGGGAGGTGTCTGCGATCTAAGGCGGGCACGGATATGGCTCTGCCACCTGGCACAGGTCCTGCACCTTCGTGCCTGGGCTGCCCCCCCCTCGTGAGGCAGAGTGGCCGCCTCGCAGAGCTCTGGGATTAAACAAGCTGACTGGACTCTGAAGAGTGGTTCCTGCCACAGCCCAGACTCCACAGGAGCCACAGCCCTGCTCAGCTGTTGGAGATGAGGGTGGGGGCACCTGTGGATGCGATGACTCACAGGGACCTGTAAGCGTGGGATAACTTTTCTCTGGGACCCGGGAATGCCCACACCGAAGCCAGGGTGCTTTCTCCACATAGAATTTTATTCTGAAGGCCACTCTGAGGTCTGGGGAAGGGGGTGGGGGGCAGCAAAGAGGCTTCTGGGGGAAGCAGAGGGGAAAGTACCCAGCCTCAGGTTGCAGGCCATTTCCTCAGTCCCACCCAGGACACCCTGGGGCTGGGTCTAAGGGCCAGGCACAAAGGGAGGCCTTGCTTGTTCAGTGACAGTTTATTGGTCCTTAGCATTACATCTGTTACCAAAGTCAATTCAGATACACAACTGCAGGTAAAAACATGTAAAATAATATAAAAATAAATTGAAGGCTACTTTAATATATTTACTGAATCAAGTAGTGTAATAAATACTATAATAAGCAAAAAGCTTCAATCACACAGTTCAGTTTCACTGAAGTTACAGTAGTGTTTGTAAATGAGTTTAAAATTTAAGTTACAAATATTAAAGCACTGAAAAGCTATAAAAGTGAATTTTGGCACGTAAGTGAGCTCTTCTTCTGTCATTAGTATTTGACAACCTAAGACAACGAGGAAGCCATTTCTCACCTACTTTTGAGGTACAACTATCCAACTAGGTCAGCAACATGCTGGAATGAATACTTAATAGTTTATAATCTTTGAGTTAACTTTTCCCTTTCGAGAAGCCTGAAGAGCAACTCAGAGCTTATTACTGTGCAAAAATTCTCCAGAATCCTAATTGAATTTAGGAGGGAGCTTTTTCTTGTGACCTGCAGGGCCTGTGTGCCGCCTGAGGGCCCGAGGTCCGAGAGCCCCAGGGCTTAGGGGAGCCAACGTAACTCCTTGCCAGCCGCCCCTTCCCAGGGTAATCCCTTTTCTCCAATTTCTGCCTCCTCCCTCCAAATAAAATAAAAAATAAAATAAAATAAAATAAAATATCCCACATCAAAACGTAAAATGACCCATAACTTCAGCGATTTTAACAGTATCACACTCACTCTGGGTGATATAAAACTGAAGCTGCTAACAGGAAAGTTGGCAAAAAGCATGCCAGCCCCTGGAGGACTTCTGCCTGTCCCTAGGAACCCTCACCGATATATTTGCTGGGTCCTTAGTATCCACTTCGAAGGTCAAAATCTAAAACAGTGTCATGGCCCTTCCTCGCGGGGGCAGCCAAGCCCCCAGCCTCCGTCTGGAGGAATCACGTGGATATTCACAGTCGGAACCCAGAGGCCCCGGAGGTTCTGGAAGAGGCAGGGCGGGAGAATGCGCCCCCGGCCTCAGTCCTCAAAGAGCTCACACCGTGCTCGTGCGCCTCTTCATCAGGGCACGGAGAGTGCGCCCCGAGGAGTGAAATGCCCTTTCACCTCTGTGCCCCTTCACACTCCTGAGCAGGCTGAGGAGTGTCTAAGGAGGCCTTAGCCAGTTTTGCCGGTTGGCTTTTAAACTTAACGTTTTGACTTTTTTCAATCACAGTTTCATATTCTGGTTGAGGTAATCACAGTTTTCCCTCTCAGAGGGGCAAGTTGGTGAGAGAGCATTTCTACGGACAATGGTCAGAAACCGAGACCACCGCGTAAGTACAGCCCCACGCAGTGGGAAGACCCGCTGCTGTGGGCGGGTTCCGACCCCTCTTTAAAAACTCTTTTGTGCAGCAGCCAGGAAATGGCTCGAGTTCCAAGATCTGGAGCTTTCATTTAAAACTTCACAGCAACCCACCTGGAGGAAATGGCCCCACCCACCCCACCCACCCCTTTTCTAAGGCTGCTCAAGTTTGAGTTTTTAAAAAGAGCTCGGTAGAGCTAAAGGAAGCTACAAGTAACTCATTGCTTATTTAATCAATTGCACTTAATATCTATGTTATTGATTTTGGAGCAGAGGAAGTCCACTGTGAACCGTAAACTCTGGCCAGCCAGACATTACGGGCTCCCAGACGTGGGCTCCACACTTGGGGCCTTGTCAGCAGCAGCTTTGGGAGCTGGGACTGGAGAACATGAGTCTTTTCAGAAGCTTTTCTTCATGCAAGATTTCTTACTCAGTAGTACTGGAGTTTTGTTCGTTTGGCTTCAAATACAAATTGTTTTTTCCTAATACAAATATGTGGTACCTGGTACCGACAAGCCCATACAATTGCTTTAATATAATACTTGCATGCAGGCCTCTGTGTGACCAGGCACACTGACCACATGTGCTCCATCCTTTCTGACTCTCCTCTGCACCAGGGGTCTTTCTGGAAAACCCCACTACATTACTGGAAACTGCTGGTTTCGCCTATGTGCTTGTTCCTAAGGCATGCAAAACAACAACGTGAAATCAGAAAGCATTTACAGCCCGGGCAGCTGAGGCGCTGAAGTCCGAACAGACATCACCTAGTTCCAATGCCTGGGACCTCCCTTTCTTCCACACTAGTTCTGGAGGTCAGCACGGGACATACCCGCAATTCCCCTCTGCTTTATGGTCCACTGAAAACAAAGCCAGTGGAAGGAATCTAATTTGGACATTGGAATTCTTTGAAATTCCTGGTCCTCGGGAGCCCAAAAAATCCAGGGCCAGGAACAATGCTTGGGGGCACCAATTTCCTGAAGTTTGTGGCCGAAATCCAGACCTTCCCTGGCGAGGCTGAGGGGAGGGTTGGGTGCTCGGGACTGAACCCCATTCAATGACACCCTCAAAAAATGATCAGGACCTAAAACTGAGCAGTTGCAGGATTCTCCCCTCAACAGTGAGGCAAAGCATTGCCAGGAAGCCTTCGGCAGCAGGTATGCTCTGGTCCCTGAATTAGGCAAACTGGAGTGATACCATGAGGGGACTCAAAACCCATCCTGAGGGGACTGCTTGTGTCAGTTCAAAGCTGCACACTTCTGAAAGGCAGGTCGCCTTCCAGTTTAGTCTGTAAGGACAAGCCCCTCATTTCAGAGCAGCTACTGACCTCAGCCCAAGCTGACTCTGGGGTGGGCTGGGGCAGAGCTTGTGCCATTTCCCCAGGACTGGCCCAGGGCAGCAGGGCCAGCTCCCTCAGTGGGAGGAGCCTGATCAGGAAGGCAGGCCCTGGGATAAGGCTCTTCTGAGCACTGTGTTGAGGCCTGAGGTCTGTGGTGGCCTGGCCCTCCCCAAGGGTGGCTCCAATTTGGGTAGCTAGGGTTCCTTCTGCATCCTAGCGGCTACTCTGTGCACTCCAAATGCTTCCCCCACCCGAACACAGTGCTTCAACAGCCCAAAGGAGATTCTGTGAGAGCCTAGCAGTCCTGGACTGCCAGCCACACACACTGCGGTCCTTGTCTGCGCCTGCTCCATGAGGACCCCTCCCCCCACATCAGTGGTGTAGGTGATGCTCTTCAGCGCTGCAAAGAGAATAAAGACAACATGCACTCAAGCCAGCACACAAAGGCCAAGGAGAACAAAGACAGCCCCTCTTTGGGAGGGGCCTCTGGAGGAACTGAGGCTAAGACACCCTGTTCTGTCCATCTTGAGTGGACATTCTGCAGCCTTCCTCTAAGGCCTCTGCTCGAAGAGATCGTGATATTCCTGCTGCTCCAGCTCCCGGTTATACTTTTCGATCTCCCGGTTGGCTTCTTCCACATAGTCATTCATGAACTGGTCCATGACTGGCAGCTCATTAAGGAAGAGAGCCGTGAGCCTGCCCTGGCCCAGAGGGATCTGTGGGCAGGTGAAGGGGGCAGGGGGCCTCTGAGGTAGTAAGTGCACAGAGGGTTCCTGATGGGCTTTTATACACTGGCAGCACCAAAGCTACAAAGAATGCGGCAGGGGTTGGCGCAGGGTCCTTCATGAGGTCTTAGACCTGCGCCCTTCAGCTTTCATTAGCACACAGCAGATTCTCACAGTTAACTACTGTAAGCAGGCCCCCTCTCCAACATGTAAATTGTGACCTTGATGACCACAGAACTGAGGATGTCACCACAGCTGCATCTGAACTACAACTCACAGGATTATCTCAGCAAGTACTGAATGAAGAAGAAATTCAATTGACTTTAAGAGGCCCTATGATTTAAAGCTCTCAGAACCCAGCCTGCTCCAGTGTGGGCTGCCTCATCTCTAGCAGACACTTTCCTTATAGATAAGCTCCCAGACACACCCCCCAGCCCCAGATTCCAAGGATACGTGGGTGAAAATCAGTCTTGTCACCAAAGAAATTGACAAACTGGCTGCCATTATAAAAGTAGCCTGCAGGTAGGGGGTCCAGGTGGCGTTTAACCTACAAGGAAAAAAGAGTCATGTTAGAATTATCTGACCACTTTTTATCATTCACTCATTCATTAAAAACAAAAACAAATCGATTATTCTAGCAAGATAGCCCGCTCCATGGAGGCTGTGTGTCTGGGAATTAACACCTTCCCACTGCAGCTCTCGGGCAATGATGACGGAGGTCTCTAGGCTCAGAGGGAGGCGCTCTGGGTGTCCCTGTGAGAAGACTCTGGTTGTCCTCAGGTCCCGGCTAGATAAAATACCCGTTGTTGGCTGCCTCCCCTTCCTACTCTCTGTTACTTTCCGTTTCCCTATTTGCATCTCCTAGAATCATTTCCAAAGTAAACTACTTGCACTCAACCTTGTTGAAGGTCTGTCTCTGAGGTGCCCACGGTGTCCTGCCCAGGAGCACCCAGGTTTGCCCAGGTCCTGTTGGGCCTGAATTTGAAGGATTCTCCTCAAGTCCAAAGCAGGGACTCCTGGAGTCCCAGAGCACTCTCCTGCCCGCCTGCACATTACTGGGACTGGTGACGTGGCTCATGTTGGGGCCTGTGTTCCTTTTAGTCTTTGTCTCCAAACCCATCAGGAAAAGGCTCCAGTGGAGGTAGGGACTGGGGCAGAGGCTGGGAGACAGCCTGGAGATCAAGTGGGCTCATCAAGAGGCTCCTTGTCCTGGCCTCAGGACTCACACATTACCCACTAGCTTCAGGATCTAGATCTAGTTTTTCCTGGGCCCTTGCTGGTTTATGTAGACCAAAGGGATGGGAAGGAGACAATAACTTCTTCAGCTTTTTGAACAGGGTGACAAAACAGGGCGACACCAGAAAATCCCAATGGATTAAAAAAAAAAAAAATCCCAAAGGATGAAGCTACACAAGCTTGGAAGGACAGCCTTGGGATATGGACGGGCCTTAAGCCCCCAGGGCAGGGTACTCACATGGATGTTCCTGATCTCCTGCTGGGTCAGCATCCCCCTGGTCTTCAGAGCTTTCCTCTGAGGCTTCTGTGCAGAGATGGAGGGAGGGGTCAGTTAACTCCATAACTCCAGTGTGTGTGTGTGTGTGTGTGTGTGTGTGTGTGTGTGTGTGTGTTTGGGCTAAAGATGCTTGTGTGCATTTACAGAAAGCCTCCTCTTCCTCAGCACCTGTCTCCAGGGCCCCAAGCTCACTGCTATCCAGTGAATCTTGATTTACAAAAGGCTCTACACATATCTTTGTTGTTAATTTCTTTCTAGAGGGAAAGCCCGAGAATAGGTGATTCTGAGCTCAGAACACAGGAGAATCTTGAATTAGTTTCAACTAAGAAATGACAGTTTGACACAGAGTCCACATGGAACAAGTAGGTTTCACCCAGGCCCTAGTTAGGCCACCTAGTAACTCCAGTCTGCTATGGAAGCAGAGTTGGAAATGTCTGTGAGAACAAGTCTGCCTTGAGTTTGTCCGAGTGGCTGCCTTCCACTCTCTATGTGTCCCTGAAAGTGCTGGCTGAGCGAAGTGGGGAGGCACAAGGGAGACTGTGAAGGGACTTTTGCCTCAAGGCCAGCAGCAGCTCTGAGGTGTGCTAGCCACATCTGTGCCAAGTCTGTCTGGGTTTCAAAAACTACCTGCTTAGCACACTGCCGTAGCCAGTCCTTGACACTTTCTTCCTTCAGGGAGCAGCCGATGAACACGAGGTAACACTCCTGTTGCCCGCTGCTGTCTTGAGGTGTGCCTCGGGAGTTGGGTGGTGGCGTGGGTCCCTCCAATACAGGCACAATGCTCAAGGAATTGGCCAGAGTATTGTGGCAGACCTCCATGGTCTTCTCAGAGTCTGCAAGAACACATGTCAGTCCCTGAGACGCTGCCCCAAAAGAATAAGGCTACACACTAAGGGTGACGCAGGGTCTATGGCTGAGGACAGACTCATGAGACATGTTCAGGAGGGAGAACTGACATGATTGGTGGCAAGTTAGAGAGGATGAGCAAGAGAGGTTGGAGTAGGTTGATTGATCAAGTGATCAGGTGGAATCAACCCAGAAGGGACTATAAGAGAAAGACCCCCCTCTAGAGGGGTGGGTCTCAACAGAGGCCCGAGAGGCCAAGGGAGGAGGGTGTGTCTACAGTACAAGTGCTGTGGGGGGGGGGGTCACCTGGATGGGAACAGAAAAGAGGGGACAAGGTTTACAGGCTGAGAAGCTGGGCTATGACTGACAGAAGACATGAAAAAAGATCAAGGTACCTCTAAAAGGCAGGATGAGAAAGGGGTCCAGAACAACAGATGTTAACCTTGAACAAGAAAGGGGTCAAGAGTAGGTATAAAGAAAGAAAGGAGCTGATGATGGGGGAGAGGAAAGTCAAAAGCACTAAGACCCCTGCAGCAGGTGGGGGGTTGTCTGTTGGTGCCTGAGGGAAGTGGGCTTGAGTAAGGGGCTTAAAGAGAGGGCCAAAGTTTCAAATTCAGTAATAATATAAATTAGTCCAATGGTACAGGTTAAAGACCATGAAAGGCTCCTTTTTAAAGGTTACGTTGTCTAATGCTTCTCTGAAGACCCAGATGGGTCCATGCTTACAACTCTCAATGGTTCCCTGTAGCAGACCTGATGGTTGCCTGTCCAGCAGACCTCTCTTCCTCCAATACCAATTCCCCATGGGTCCTGGATCCTGGAAGGCATAGCAACTCAATCCTGGCCAAGGGGAGAAGCCTGCTGAAGAACTGGGAGGAGGCACTTCAGCAAGGGTGTCTGCACTGATAAAGATACCACAGAAAGAACCAGCATCTCCATTGGCTGGATGTTGTGTCTGGATTTGACACCTAGACTATAGCACTACCTGGCAACCATAGGAGTGGGTACCTGAGGATAAGCTGACACCAAGAATGGAAGAACACAGAGACACCCATTACCTGGGTCCTCAGTGGCCTTGCTATGCAGCCTGATCTCTCGCTTCTTGGTATGTAGCTGTCACCTGCTAGTTAGACAACCTAACAGGCACAATCCCTGCCTCCCCCTAAGCCCCAGACACAGTAAACCCTTTTTGGTTCCTGAAGTGTGCCCTTTTTGCCTCAGGTCCACAGCACATGCTGTGCCTTTTCTCTGGAACAGTCTCCTCTTTCTCAATGTTGAGTTGAGCAATTCCTTGTTTTGAGGCCTTCTCTGACGCCAGCCCAGGATAGACCAGGTTTGGAGGGCTCCAGTCTAAGGCTGATAAGTAGGGCCTACTGAACAGAAGGGAGAAGGCAAGTAACTTTGACAGACATGGATCAGAAGCTGGATATCTCAGTGTTGGGGTGGCTCTAGAAAGGTGATAGGTCTAGAAAGAAACCATGGGTAATGGTTTGAGTCTCTGGAACAAGGAAGTCAAGGAAGTCCAGGAGCTGTGAGGAGAGGCCCTGGGCAGGCCATCCAGGGGAAGGAGGACAGATCCTCCACTGTGGAGCAGAAGGACCTGAAGGAAGGTAGGCCCTTGGCAGAGAGGGGTGATTGGAAGAGTCCAGTGGCATAAGGCCCCGAGGGGAGGGTTTTGGAGAGAGTCTGCAAAGCACCAGTAGAGGTTCTGAACTCCAAAGTGCAGGGCTCCCAAATCCAACCCCCCAGTTACCTGAAAACTTCACTTTGCCCAGGATGTGGTAGATGTTTCCAGAGAAAGGACTCGGCTTGATGGAAGAGTGAATTGCTGGTGAAGGAAGAGGACAGGATTGTTACCCACGTGGGGGCAGAGGCCAAGCTCAGAGTGGCAGCGCTGAGACGGTTAGGGACTAGGAAGGGATCTTACTCTAGGGTCCTGAGTTCATGGATTCTATCCCTACCCACTCCTCCCTAGTGGCTCCAGAGAGGGGGGGTTCCTGCATTCTCAAATCCCTCTGCCTGTTTTCAGACTCAAATGAAGAGAATAGACAGCATAGAGAATGGTGCCAGGAAACAGGGAAACTCTTGACGTTCTTTTCCTGGGGCCCGGGACATGTCCCAGCCAGGGCTTACCTTTACATTTGGCCACAAAGCGAGTCTTCTCCAGGGGACGACCAAACCACACACAGATCTGAACCATTAATGGAAAGACTGATCCAGCATCAAATTTACCTTCATACCTTAAAAGGTTTAAAAAATTGTAAGTACAACAGTATTATATAATACTTTGGAATGAACTACATATTATCTATCCTGTAATATTTGAATTCTCTCTTACTTGTACACAGTTTTGTGTAGAATACATTTGTTTAAATGTATATATGTTTCTTTCACCTTGAGGTTGGGAAGAATGATTTACCTCTTTAGACTAGCAGTTTCTTGACATGAAAGACCCCTTCGGCCTTTGAAGCCAGGCAGTGTCCCACCTGAGACGAGGGGTCCTTCCTGGTACCCCTAGAGTTCTTCCTCAGGACCCCCCATTCTTTCAAGGGCTCCAACCATGCTCCATCATTGCTGAGGGTAGCTTAACAGACTGTATATTTAGTTCCAGAAGGAACTAAAGGGCAGAGGAAGCTCTGGACTATTTTCTCAGTTTTGAGTATAGCAGACATAATGTTGCCACAGACTCATTCAGAACATGGCCATATTCAGTGCACTTAAAAAATTTAACTTTTCATTATGGAAAACTTTAAACACATGCAAAGGTAGAATGTAGTATAATAAACTCCCATCAACTAGCTTCCAAGTGATGGAACTGTCATTTCTTCTTTTGTATTATTTCCTTCAGATGAATCCTCATGATTGAAATCAGTCCAGAAGAAGGTGTAACCGTCTGATGAGTAATAATTTATACTGCCCCTGGCAGTAGGTGAGCATTCCAGTTTCACAACAATTCCCCAGCAATGGTTACTATAGATATTTTTGATTAAATGCAATATTATCAATCAAAATAATAATGAGGCATCATTTTACATTTTGAATATTACTGACGTGGAATTGCTATCACGGTTGCCATCTGTATTTGATCCTCAGCGAATTGTACACATCCATAAGGAGTGGGTTATTTTTCTTAACTAGCCAAATAAGTTTCTCAAATATTATATTAAACCTCTGTCACATTTGAAGTAATAATTTTCCTTTAGCCTATTGTATTCTCTTCTTTTTAAAAAACATGATTTTATTGATTTCAGAGAGAGGGAGAAAGAGAAACCTCGATGATGAGAAAGAATCATCGATTAGTTGCCTCCTGCACATGCCTTATTTGGGATCAAGCCCATAACCTGGTTATTGAACCGTGATCTCCTGGTTCATAGGTTGATGAGCCATACCCGCTGGGCTGTATTTTCTTATTAGTTTCCTTGGTTTTAAAATAGCAACTATAGTTTTGAATTTTATATTGTTGAAAGTATCTTATCCTTTGTGATTTCTTAAAGTTGGGTAGTAGCATAACATTTTTGCAATACTGCCATGGTCTTTTTTCTCTCCCCCAACCCAGACAGCCATTTGGATACCATGAGTTACTCTGGCTTCTGCGCTCAAGCCTGAATCTTTAATTTGGAGGGGGATGAAGGAAGAGGGAAAGGTTTCCTCCCAGGCCAGAAACACGCCATTCAGGGCGGGGCGGGGCCAAGGAGAACAGAGGCCATGAAGGGGAATGGCTAAGAATCTTCACAGCTCAGAATGAGCACATCCTGGAGCTTAAGTCCATTCACTAGGAGGTGGTGGCCCTGACCCAAGGAGGGAGGGGAGTAATGTCTAGGGATGAGTAGGAGTCTGATGGCTGCCATCTCGTTAAATGACTAAGTTATCTGAACCCAGGAAGGAATTAAGAAGGGAGAGCCTGAAGGATGATTAAAAAAAAAAAAATCTTCCTTGTTGAAAATATTGCATATGTTCCCTTCCCCCCCAACTGATCCTCTTCACCAACCTATTGTCTATGTCCATGGCTTATGCATATATGCATACAAGTTATTTGTTTGATCACCTCACACTCCCCCTCCCTACCCCACCTTCCCTGAAGGATTTAAGGCCCCTCCATCTCTAATTATTACAATGATTGATTTTTCTGATCAAGAGAAGGTTTCAGACTCTACACTCACAGAACCTTCTAATGAGCTCCTCATAACCCAGCTCTTTCCTGGACCAGTCTGCCTTAGGAAAGTGCATCCGGAGCTCTGTTCAAGTGCCCAGAATGAGTCAGCATGGACTGGAGGAAGGGTGACTCCCTAGGCACCAGGTACAGACAGAAGAAGTCTCAGGCCAGGCCCTCAGGTGTGGGCAGCAAAAGGCCCCACATCTGCAGCCACCAGAGGAGGGTTTCACCTCAGAAGCTCCATCTCTTTCTTCTATCTAAGATATAACTGTCTTGTTCAGGAAAATGGGATGATCCACTTACCTACTATATAAGTATGATATAATTCAAATCAAGTATGGTATGACTAAAAGACTAAATTTTTATTCATTTACATTTTATTAAATAGACAAAGGTGGCTAGTGGTTACCATACTGGAGTGTGCAGTCTTAGAACAATGTGTGTAAGTAAGTGCTCCTGAGCTGCTGGTATTAGTATGATTACAATACTCCTTGTACTCTCTTTCCTTCTCTTCTCCCCTCTGGAGAAGGTCACAGGCTGGGAGGCTGCCAGGACAGAAGAAACATCTTCTGGGCCCCATCGGCAGGGAACTCACCTTCAGGAAGGAATCCTAGAGGACTGACTATTCTCAGGAGTGAGTCTCTCACCTGGGAAGGTTACAACTCCTTGGTTCTGTGTCAGCCACCTCACCCTCACTAGAGGCCAGAGGAAACACAGGACACGATTGTGCCTGGTGCCCACAGGAATAAATACTCACTTTATTCCATATCTATCCTTTCCCTCAACATGCAGCAAGGCTCCCAAGATGGAGCCCAAGATGGGGGGCACTAGGCTCCTGGGAGAGCCAGCTGCTGTTGGGACACGGCAGGCCCTTCCAGCTGCCATGGACACCTTTGTATAGCACACCTGGTGTTCTCTCCTTCTCTCTCCTCCCTCTCCCTCTCCCTCCCCCTCTCTTCCTCTCACTCCCTCCTTCTCACGCTGTAAATAAATCACTGGGTTTACAAATAAATCTTAGCTAATTTTCAATGATGATACTTGCCAGCCAGGATACATTAAATATCGAGATCGTAGCATCTGAGGACTTGAAAAACTGTTTTCTGATAGAATCAGCTCAATGTCTTCATTCCTTTGAAAACATACAGGAAAAAACCCCACACAGATTAATTAGGACTATCAACCTTAACCTGCACATTTGATTTCTTTTTCCACTGTCCCCCCACACACATATAAGCAACAAACACATGCATTTCCCCCCCCTGTTATTTCACCCTTAAGTATTTCAGTATGCATCACCTAAGAACAAGGACACTCTCTTACAGAACCACAATACGATTATCACGCCCGAGGAATTTAATACTGTGGACCAGCAACACTGGCATTACCTGGGAGCTCATTAGAAATGCAGAATCTCAGGCCCCATTCTAGACCCACTGAATCAGAACCCTCATTTTAATAATCCTCAAGAGATTCATATGCACATTAAAGCTGAAGAAGTATTGATTTAATATACATCCATTTTCAAATGTCCCTTTCTGGGGTAGGGAGAGGCTCACCCATCAAAATTACAATCTTTATTTTCCTTTAATCTGGAACAATTCCTCCAACTTTTATGTGAGTTTGTTTCTCATGACATTAACCTTTTTGAGGCTATGCCAGCTGTCTTGTGTCCCATGACTTAGATTTGTCTGACTGTTTCCTCATGATTAGATTCAGGTGAATATTTTGGGCAAAATTAATACCCAGGTGATGTGTCCTTCCCACAGCATCACAGGACGGAGGCGCGGCATGCCAATCTGTCCCCTTAGTGGCCTTGCTAAGTTGAACCATTTGGTCAATGTCATGACTACAATACCCCCTATTCCCACTGTGAAGGTACTTTCTGTCTTTGTAAGTAGTGAGTAGTTTGTGGAGTGCTACTCTGAGGTTAGAAAATATCCTTTTCCTCAACAATCTGTCAACTACTGAACATCCATTGATGATTTTTGCCTAAACTAAGTTATACCAAAGGTTACAAGATGGTGACTTTCTAATTCTAGAAATCCTTATTTATTTGTTAGCATTTTCCTGTTAAAAGAGATTTTGTATTCTGCCCCTCTTCATTTTTTTGGTATCACATAGACTCACTTTATTCTATGTGCTATAATCCATTATCATCATTATTCTTTCTCATGCTCAAGTTGTCACAAATTTGGCTAAAGACAGCTTCTTAAGATAGTTCACATATCCTTTTGAAATAGCTACAAAAATATTTGCTTTTTTGGCATAAAATGTACCTGCTCTAGACCTGCAATCAGCCAATTCTCCAAGGAGTCCTGATACCTGACAGTGGATTGGTACATAGAAACCAAGAGCTAGAAGTAGGAGTATTTATTGTGGGATTAGTATTTCTGCTCCCTTTCAATGGAAAAACTTGTAAATATACCTTTTTAAAAATAATAAATTTATACCGAGTTCCTCCAAATTCAAATCCAACATTTACAGGGTTTCCCCTCACCATTCCATTTCACATTTATTATTAATCGAACTGGAGGATATTTATCCCCATTGATTTCTAGACAGAATGGAAGGGAGAGAGAGTGACACAGAGAGAGAAACATTGATGTGAGAGAGACACATTGACTGTTTGCCTCCTATATATGCTCTGACCCAACCAGGGATCGAGCCTGCAACCAAGGTTGTACCCTTGACTGGAATTGAACTGGGATCTTTCAGTCCATGGGCCAAAGCTCCAACCACTGAGAAAAACTGGCTATAATCTCCCTTCTCTATTCAGTGATGTTGTTTGGAATCAGGATACCAATAGAAGATTATGCTCAAAAGTTACCTGAATTAATTATTTTTTGTGTGTGTGATTACAGATGGTTTCACTTTTTTGTTTGTATTTAGATTTTTTCCCTCCTTGTTTGTTTAATTTTTGAATATGTAAAATATTTGCATTGCTCAAAAGTCAAAACTAGCCCTGGCTGGGTAGCTCAGTTGGTTAGAGCATTGCCCTGATATGCCAAGGTTGAGGGTTCAATCTCCAGATTAGGGCACATGCAAGAATCAATCAATGAATACATAAGTAGAACAAATCAATGTTTCTCTTTCTCCCTCCCTTAAATCAATTTTTAAAACGTGAAAACTAGCCCAGCCAGCATGATTCAGTGATTAAGTATCAATCTATGAACCAGGAGGAGGTTGCAGTTCAATTCCTGACCAGGGTATATGCCTTGGTTGGGGGCTTGATTCCCAGTTGGGGGCATCAGGAGGCAGCTGATCAGATCAATTACTCTCTCTCATCATTGATGTTTCTATTCCTTTCTCATTCTTCCTTTCTCTCTGAAGTAAATAAAAACATATTTTAAAAAAGTGAAAACTATATACCTTTTAGTGTCCTTACTGAGCAAACAAAATTGCTATACAATCAGATGCTTTTGTACACACACATACAAAGTCACCAATGATCTATTTTTAGTTTGAAATTTGGACCCAAGTCCATGAAGTAAAAAGATAATTTCTCTATGTCCTCTATGTAATTTTTCTTACATGTTAACACAGGAATTTGAGAAATTCTTGACTTCCATTCCTTAGTGGACAAAAATGTGGATGCATTAAAATAAAATGTCTCAAAACAGGACAGGATACTGACACATAGAGCACTTCTATAATTGCTCAGGACCCTGTGGTGCATTGTCAGAGTGTAGCTGCTGCATCTGAGAAGGTGCCTGCTCGGTGGGGAGAAGGGGTAAATTTACCTGGTGACAATCCCATTTTCTGCAAGAATGAAGGCTGCGGTAGGATTGGTAGCCCTGATGAGGCTCTGCAGCTGAACGAGGAGAGGGTGCCTCTGCTCCATGGTGTGACTGGTGAACACCACATTATTCACCAGGCCTGGCAATAAAACCAAGAACAGTTCAGCCTTCAGAGACCTGATGGACTGAGGGCTCACACCAACATGGGCCCTTGCTCCCTCCCCTGATTGTCCCTTCCAGGAGCCCCTTGTATAGACACCCCAGACCCTCAACACCAAGAGACAACCATCATTCTGTTCCCCTTTCTGCCAATTCTTGGAGTGCATGGCCTCAACACTGTAGCTGCCTTACTTCCTAATCTCCTATCTTCTTTTTCAAAATGTTTTATTTTTTATTGATTTTGAGAGAGAGAGAGAGAGAGAGAGAGAGAGAGAGAGAGAGAGAGAGAGAGAGAGAGGAGAAAGGAGAGAGAGAAAAAAAACATCAATGGGCTGCTTCCTGCATGCCCCTATTGGGGATTGAGCCTGAAACCCAGCCATGTGCCCTTACCAGGAATCAAACTGACCTCTTTGTGCATGGGTTAAAAAAGTTCAACTACTGAGCCACACTTGCCGGGCCCTACTATCCTCTTAATTCTGCTTTCTAGCTGATACCCTGAGCTTCATCAGGGGGCCCTTTCTGCATCCCCTGTACTTAACTTCATCAGGAAAGGGTGCCAATGACCTTCACCAGTTCAGACCACATTTTCCAGGCACTAACCATATATCAGGTGTTAACCAGTAGGTTCTCAAAGTGTACAGCCGAGAAGGAGTCACACACATAAACGCACAATTGCAAGGTAAGTACTAACACAGATATTCACATAATGATACAATAAGAAAGAGGGGCACATGTAATGACAGGTTGTGGGGTGGACCATGATCACTCCAAACCTTTCTGTGAAAATACAGAAATAAAGTCCATAACACCAAAGAGAATTTGGAAATCAGGGAAGTTACCACATTCCACCATGCCAATAAAATTATATCTCTCCCATATTCACTCCTATTTTTATATAGTTAAAATCATAGCATATCTACCATAGCATATCTTTCTGCTGTAAAGAACATTTGCATTTAAAAAAATATATATTTTATTTATTTATTACAGAGAGGAAGGGATAGAGAGTTAGAAACATCGATAAGAGAGAAACATCAGATCAGCTGCCTCCTGCACACCCCCTACTGGGGATGTGCCTGAAACCAAGGTACATGCCCTCAACTGGAATTGAACCTGGGACCCTTCAGTCCTCAGGCTAAAGCTCTATCCACTGAGCCAAACTGGTTTTGGCAACATTTGCATCTTTTATTCAACCACTTTATTCACTTTTTAATACCATGAAAATTTAAAAGATATACAAAAATAGATAAAACAGTGCAATGAACTCCCATGTGCTCATCACCAGGCGTCAAGCATTATCAATACTTGGCTAATTGTATTCCTTCCATACCATGCCCCTGTCTTTTCTTTTTCTCCCTGCTCCCACACTGTGTGATTCTGAAGCCAATTCCAGATATCCTATTATTTCATCCAAAAATATTTCACTATCTATCTCCATAAGATAAGAACTCTTTAAAAATGATTAATAATAATTTTTTAAATATGAAAAGTATGATCTGTGCTCAAGTTTCTATCTAATGAATGTTTTATTAGAGCTAATTTTTTGAACCAGGAACTGAAGTACACATGTTATATTCATTGATACATCTTATAATTCCCTTTCAATCTATAGTTTCTCCTGATTTCTTTGAAATTTATTGTTGAAAAATTTTATCCTGTAAATTTTTCCCAGTCTGAATTTTGCTGATTGTACCCCCATAGTATTGCTTAACACACTAGCTGGATTTCTTTGATAGATTTAATTCTTTTTATTATAAGCTAGTTTAAAATTTGTTCTTTTTTTTTAAAATTGAAAAACAAGTACAGACTCCCATGTGGGGAAGGGGAAAGAATCTCACAGCACAGACTCCCATGTGAGGAGGAGGAAAGAGTCCCTCTTGTTGTTTTTTTTTTTCCTAACCTCTTAATTTGAATGCTTAATTTATTATTTAAAAAATATATTTTATTGCCGAGGCTGGTTTGGCTCAGTGGATAGAGCATCGATCTGCAAACTGAAGGGTTCCAGATTTGATTCCGATCAAGGGCATGTACCTTGGTTGCGGGCACATCCCCAGTGAGGGATGTGCAGGAGGCAGCTGGTTGATGATTCTCTCTCATCGATGTTTCTAGCTCTCTGTAAAAAATCAATAAAATAAAGATACCGATGAGAGAGAAACATCGACCAGCTGCCTCCTGCACATCCCCACTGGGGATGTGCCCGCAACCAAGGTACTACATGCCCTTGACCGGAATCGAACCTGGGACCCTTCAGTCTGCAGACCGACGCTCTATCCACTGAGCCAAACCGGTTTCGGCTTAATTTATTATTTTAAAATGTTATTTCTTGTTTAGTAATGTAATAACCTAGGATATATGCTTTCTTTTGATTTGGTATATAAATATTCACAACAAATAGTAGATGGTATCATTTATCATTACAGATTGCTCTTTTAGACCTCTCAATTTTTTTGGCCAATTCAAACTTGCCATTAATAATATTGCTTTCTTTTTTTTGTTTGCATTTGTCTGTTATGTCTTTCCCAATATTTTATCATCACCCTTACTAAGTTTTAGATACTTCTCTTTATAAAGTGCTGCATAACTAGATTTTATTTTTGGTTTAATCTGAGATATTTTTCCTTTTGCATGTTTACTCCATTTATAGTTATGCCACTTTGGTTCTGTCACCTTGTTTGTATTAGATTGTTTAACCTTCAGCAGTATAGCCTTTGCATTCTTTGATAAGTGGAGGGATTACAATCTTTTAGATCTTATGATAGCAATTCTAACTTTTAAAAATAATAGATCTAAATAACTATTTCTTATAATGTCACATTTAGACAGTGTCTACTGACTTTCTATTATGACAGATGCAGAAGCTGGCATATACTTAAATTCTCCCCCATCATATTCTGGTTGATTACATTAATAATTTCAGTTCCTGTCCTGACCAGTGTGTTCAGGTTAGAGAGTCAACTTATAGACCAAAGGATTGTGGGTTCAATTCCCAGTCAGGGCACATGCCTGGGTGGTGGACTTGATCTCCAGAAGGGTGTGTGCAGGAGGCAGCCAATCAATGATTCTCTTTCATCACTGATGTTTATATATCTTTCCCTTTCTGAAATCAATACAATTTTTTTTTTTTAAATCTACTCCATCTAAAATCAGTGGAAAAATATCCTCAGGCGAGGATTAACAAAAAAACAAACAAACAAACAAAAAAAACCTCCCAGAAAACAAAAAATATTTTAGGTCCTCTAATGGATACTTTTATATCTTTAAAGTTTATAACTCTTTATAACTTGATTTAATAACTTAAAACTTTATTGACCTCCCCCATTGGAAGATGTAAAAGAGAGTTCTCTCTCCTGCTGTCTTCCTAATTTTAAAAAAAATATATTTTATTGATTTTTCACAGAGACAAAGAGAGAGGATAGAGTTAGAAACATGAATGAGAGAGAATCATCGATCAGCTGCCTCTTACACACCCCCTACTGGGGATGTGCCCACACCAAGGCACATGCCCTTGCCTGGAATTGAACCTGGGACCCTTCAGTCTGCAGGCCAGCGCTCTATCCACTGAGCCAAACCAGTCCCGGCTAATTTTTTGTTAGATATAATTTCATTTATAGGTTTTTAAGATTTTCAACATTTATGTTCAACTTTGTAATACAATTATCAGAGGTGTTATTGTTAATTCTATAACTAAGATTTTCCTGGCAGGTGTGGCTCAGTGATTGAGGTCACATGCCTGGGTTGCAGGCTCAATCCCCAGTATGGGGTGTGCAGGAGACAGCTGATCAATGATTAGTGATTCCCTCTTAACACTTATGTTTCTATTTTTTCTCCCTCTCCCTCTCTGAAATCAATACAAATATATTATAAAAAAAAAAAAAGAAAAGAAAAGATACATGCCACTTAACCTCCGAAGGCAGCTGCCATAGCAGGTATGGTATGGGCACTCACATACCAAAATATATCCCACATAAAACTCTAAGCAAATCCCATTCATCAAACAGACATCTGAAAAGGTTTCTAAGACTACGGTATATACATATTTTTGGTATAAAACTCAAAGTACAAAAAGGTATTCAGTACACAGTTTCTTCCTCCTTCCTCTGCACCCTGAGCCCTTGCTCCTTTCCCAGAGGCAAGCACTGATAACCAGTTTTGAGTAGGCTTCCTCAGACAGTCAATGCATAGGAATAATCGTATTAAAAAATAATCACATTAAAAAAATAATCACATAAAAAAAAAAAAAAACCCTCACCAGAGGATATTTTTCCCATTGAAGAGAGAGAGGCCTGGGTCCTGGGGGCCGGACGAAAACCAGTGCCAGCAGCCAGGGGAAGGAAGGCCTATTGCACGAATCTTCATGCAACGGGCCTCTAGTTTTTAAATAAGCTCCTAACACACTCAAAACCTCTACTGCTTCCCTAGCCTGTTTCGCTCAGAGGATAGAGCATCCCCTATGGACTGAATGGTCCTGGGTTCGATTCTGGTCAAGGGCACGTACTTTGCATGTTCTTCCCTGGCCTGGGCCCTGGACAGGGTTCATAGAGGAGGCAACCAACCAATTGATGTGTTTCTTCACATCAATATTTCTCTCTGTTTTTCCCTCTCTTTTTCCCTCTCTCTAAAAATCAATGGGAAAATATCCTTGGGTGAGGATTAAAAAAACCAAAACACCTCTATTGTTAAGGTCTCCATGTAAGACCTAGTTGTGGTAACAGCACATGATTAGAAATTCAAATGGAGAATATGTTAGCATTTTGTTTATTCCATTTTAAAAGGTTCCTTGCATGCCCTTTCTGTTCAGAAGCTTTAACATTAAGATGGAGCATCTTCAACCTATACAATTTTGTTAACCCGTGTCAGCCCAACACATTCGATAAAAAGAAAAAGATGCACCATCTTCAGCCAGAGTGTCAGGGAAGCCTGTGATTGAAGGTGACACTGGTGGTGCCTGTGCTCCCTTCCCCATTTAGGAAGGTCACTCTG